TTTTGGATGGATGTGTATGGATAACAAATATTAGTAGTTTTATTTGTTGATAGCTGCGCATGGATAACAAATAGTTATGTTTCAAATTGTTATGCTAGATGGATGTGACTTGTGAATGAAAACTTAGAATAGTTGTATATTAAGGTGCTTTATTGGGGCAGAATGGGGGGGGGGGGGACTTTGTAACTTGTAGTACTAAATTGGGATATTATTGGATTTTATGGGGACCAATATGATTGTTACACAATGTTGAATTTTTAAGGTGCATTTTTTGGTGATTTTGCATGATGGAACTACAAAGTAGCTATTCCATGTGTATCAAGAAGGGTTCATCTGTCCAGTCCGATCCCGGACTGGACCGTGCTGTTGGGCCCGTGAGGGTCCACTACGGATCCTGTTTTGAAAATCTGAACCGTTCAATGTGTAGAACTCGTCAAGTACTACATGTCTGTGAAAAATCACATTGATTGGATATCGATAGCTATGTGATCAAATCAGTTTTGTATAAAAAAAATGGACTGTGAAAAAATTAACGGTTGATAAAAAATTGTTTTGTTCACATAGCTATCGATATCCGATCAACGTGATTTTTTACAGGCATATAGTATTCGATGAGTTCTACACATTGAACGGTTCAGATTTTCAAAACGGGACCCATGGTGGGCTTCCATGTGCCCAACAGTACGGTTCAATCCGATCCCGGACTGGACAGAAGCCGTGGCCTATCAAGAAAATGGATCACAAACCAAAGTATTTTATTTTGTTTTTCTTCTCTTTCTTCTTTCCTTTTCTTTTTATTTTACAAATCTAAGTTTCAACACTGTATTCACGATCCCTCTTCCTTCTATATACCATTGAAGTAGGCTCTTTCCTCAATTGAATTGCCGCAGTCCCCTTCTTCCCTTGTTCATTGCCTCAACCGCCTCCGTCTCTCGCCACTGATGTGACTCCCTCCTCGTGACAGATCCAAACCCTTCTTCCATTGTCAATCACCTCCCTCTCGGTTGTTGCGCCTCTTTTCTTTATGTTTTATTATTTCTTTTTGATAAAAATTAGTTTTATTAAAACATGTTTCGAAACATGAAAGGTAAAAAAGGTCAATTACCAATTTTTTTGCTGTCATTTCCTATAATTTTTTTAGAGGGGAGGAGGTTTGTATGATTTCTCATACAAATGGTGCTTGCATTTTCAATAAACTACACCGTAGATTAACATAATTAATTATAAGTTTTTATCAGCCCATAACAAATGGTGTGACATCATGTTACTATCATGATAATAATGTATTTTATGTAGTATTTTTTTTTTTGTTTTTTTTTTGAGGAATGTATTTTATGTAGTTAGTACACTATAATAACGTATCTTTTTTATTCGTATGTATGTTCTCCATTATTTCTTTTGTTGGGAAAATACAAAACAATGGTAGATTGAAAAAATAAATACAGAATCATGAAAAAAGTTATATATTTCCCTTTTTTTTAATTTTAATTTTCTTTTATGTGGACTTTAACTTTGTATAAGTTATATATATATATATATATAAGAAGGGCTTATCGGCTTGAGGTTCGTCTTTTTTCTTTGATTTTGTCATTTTATTTTGAATAATTTATTAATAGTGACCTATATGTTGAAGGTTTTTTTCGTAATTACGTAAACATTCTTGGTCAATTATGAAACATAAGTATTTTATTTTTTAACAAATTACAAATATATCTATAAATTTTGTTTAAAATATGAATTGGTCTTATAATACTAGAAATTACAACTATCCTTTGTTATAAATTTTAATTTAACACAATAATCTAGAGAAAAAAAAAAAACTATTCTCCTATACAATAATAATTTATCAAAATTATTTATTAAAAAATGTACGGGAAAGAAATAAACCTTCTCGTATAATCCTGTTGATCAAGTCTGCGCTCCTCTGTACGTCATCGCTTTATCACCTGAAAGCACAAACATGAGCTAGCCGGCGGGTGTATGCCGGAAACCTCTCCGATGCCTAAGTCAGTAAGCTTGACAAATAGACAAAAACTCTGTGTATTCAGAAAGTAAAGTTGTGTGTTATCTCTTCGCAGGTGATATTTGTGAGCTTTATAGGTTTCGTGTGGCACAATCCTAGTAGGACTTTTACTTCTCCATGCAGAGTCCTCCTAGGATTTAACCTCCTGAAGGATAATCCTTATCCTCCAACACCCCCCTCACTGCTTAAATCAAGTGAAATTGTTCTTCTATGGCCGGGCTACCACGACCGAAGTAGAATGACCATGCTATGCTAGCGACCACATGACCGTGACTTAACTAGCCTGGTCTTTTACTCCGCAGTTTGTACCTCGGTTTCCCTACGGATACCGAGCTAAATTAAGAGTAAGGCTTGCTATGTCTACATCATGCCTTGGTTCCAAATAGTGCAGCCAAGCTAACCACGCCTATGGTAACCAAGATACCTACGCAAGATTATAACCGAGTTAACTTAGTGCGACGACCGAGCTTACCTCGGGACCGGCGTAACTTCAAGATTCTCCTAGACCGGTCTAACTCTATGGCCCTTTTACTCAGCCCTTCGTATTGCGGTCCAAAACGGCCCATTTACCCAGCTCGGCCCAATTTTCCATACAAATTTCCCTCACAAAAAATATTTCTCATATCATTAAAAATTGTTAATTGACTTAATACTTTATTTATTAACAAAATTGTTAACTGAAAAATATTTTTCATATCATTAAAAATTAATGATTTAGTTATTAATAAAATTGATCATTTGAGTATGATTTATGTATTAATAAAATTAGTCATTTGTATATTTATGTATTTTCTTTCGATTCTTTATTAGTTCAGTGAATTATCTTAGTAATTTTTTTTAGATAGGGAAATATGTTAGTATTTGTTTTATATTTATCTGTCAAGAAAAATTACACACCATAATTTATTTATTTTTTTTTATAAATTCGGAAGAAATGTTAAAAACTCATAAATTCAACCCAATGATATGGTATTAGAATTGGCGTCTACATCATTAGATGTATAACAAATTAAAAAATAATACATATCATACCACATAATCGATCATATATCTAATGATTTATTCTATTCAATTTCATAGAACAATATTCTAATTTTTTTAAAAAAAATTATCAGAAAATAGAACTTAAACTTACTGTAATAATACACGGCCTTTTAAAACTAGTATGTATATAAGGGAATGGTATAGCACTGTGATTATATGTTATTTGTTACACATATGTCTTTTATAAGGTACTTATGCATATCTCAAAACAAAGGATCTGGGCATATGAAGAGTGTTAAAACTAAATTTAATTATTCAAAAATTATTAGGGCTGAACAAGTGATCCGTGAAATCCGTAATTCGATCCAGTCCAATCCAATTTGATAGGTTTAGATTGGTTTTTTGAATCCGCGGTTCGGTTCCGGATTGAAGAATTAAAAATCCGTAGTTTACGGATTGGTTCCGAATTGAACCCCACGGTTTCGGATTGGAACCGATCCGAACCGTATACAAATAGTCTATATTTTTATTATACATCATCCCCCATAGTATATTCTCTTAATTCTATATAAAATCTAAACTCAAACCTAAAACCGTATAATATCTTCTTTCATTACTCTTGTTTGTTGGTTTTTAGTTTTAAGTTGTAATGGTTTAAATACTTATAGTGAAATCAATTTTCTTTTGGTTGCTTAAATTTTAGAACAGTATGTCGCTATTATAAAAAAATATGTTGTTATTGTGGAACTAATATAGCGTTATGTTTATATTTTTATAAAATTAAAGTGTTATAAATATATTTTTGTTATTTAATTATGTGAATCCGTGGTCCTAAACCGATCCAATTCATATTTTAATAGATTGGTTCGAATTGGTTCCATAATTTAAACGGATTGGATTGGTTCCAGTTTTTTAGGAACCGTAGATAACGGATTGATCCTGGTTTTATCCCAATCCGATTCAATCCGGACCATGCTCACCCTTAAAAATTATGGTGAGATGTTTTTCAAAATGTGAATGTGCAATTCAGTTTGAATTGGTTTATTGTAAGGTCATGTATATAATAATTATAGTATATTTGTTAATAAAATTCATTAGTATTACTAGTGCTAAAAATAGACGAGAGGAAAGTAGGGCAGAAAAACATGCATAGAGATGTGTACACCATTTTAGCTAACAGTAATGATTCAGACCCCCACAAAATATCACCCTACAACCCCCACTCACTTGTGATTGGTTCAAGTAAGAAAGAGGAAAAAAAAATACAAATACAAATACAAATACATCATTGGTCCACATCACTGTAGGGGTGGTGGGGGTCTCCCCAAAAAGGGGTTTCAAACATTTTCCTTTAGCTTATTATTGTCCAAACAAGCATACAATGCTGGGTTTTGTCACTCCTTTCCCCACACAGGATGGTATAAAATCAGTAATCATATGTAGAGATAGTCATTTTCTCTCGCTTCGCTCTACTCCTATTGTCCCGTCTTACCTTTTATAAGTTTTCCCGCCCCGATGAGAAAGGAGGAAGGAGACCGGAATGGAGATGGGATTTTATTTCCTTGACTCATTCTACCCAACCCCTTCCCGATTATATTTATTAAATATATTTATATATATAATATAATATAAGTTTTTTATTATAACAAAATTATTATAGTTAATATCAATTTTTATTCATTTATATTTTATTTTTTATTTTATAATTCTCATTAAATATAAATTATTATTCATAATGTGCTATATTATATATAAGTTTTATTCATATTCTCATACTTCAATTTACAAAAATAACTCTTTCTCACCTTGCCCTTGCCAGTTAACAGCCACAACCTCAACTACCTCTTTATTTGCCAATATGATACGGGCAGTGGCGAATTACTACAAACTCGATCACATCCTAACCATACGGCACATGTGGGCTTTGGCCCACATTATTGCGGGTCACATTTAAACTGATTCATTAAAGAGCCCTATTCAACTGGAGAGGGCTAGCCCACATACTCGACGCAACTCTTCAACTTGGAATTCACTTGACTTTGGAGAGAGCTTGCACGATCGATCATCACACAAGTTTCATTCAGACAAACCCTAGTCTCTCCGAAATGCAAGAGAAGAAGGCAGACATGGCGACCACCAACACCTCCTCTTCGAACAAAAACCCTAAAAAGGCGAACCTCTTGGATCATCACTCCATCAAGCACATTCTCGACGAGTCCGTCACTGAGGTAATTCACTTCAAATTCCTCTCTCTCTCTCTCTCTACGTAATTGTGTATATGTGTGATCGATTGGTGCAATGGTTGATATATTTTGTTGCTGATCTGTGGTTTTTTTTTCTTTTTTTTTTTTTTTTTTTTTTGTCTCTTATGATCGTTACGGGCCGTGGATACATTGAAGATGTGAGGATGAGTAACATTAGGTTGCTTTTGGGAACGATCATCATTTTCATTGCGCTCGTCGCTCAGTTTTACCCTAAAAAGTTTCCCGAGAACAGGAATTTTCTGATTGGCTGCATCGTATTATATCCTTTTTCCTCTCGTAGATTTTGTTTTGTTTTGTTTGTTTGTTTGTTTTTTTTTTTTTTTTTGTTGCTATCCTCTGTTTGGCTGCTGAGAAAACGGTAGAATTGAGAACAAATTTTGAGTTTCACATTCTCTTCTTTTTTTTCTTTTTTTTTTCTTTTCCCCACTTCCCAAAATAGAAAATTTTCTGTCTGGTTGCCTATTTCATTTTTGTTAAAATGTCTATTTGAATTCGTAATTTTCTGTCTGGTTGCCTATTTCATTTTTGTTAAAATGTCTATTTGAATTCGTCTTTATTTTTGTATTGCCTTCTGTTTGTTTGACTAGAGAATGAAAGAGAGGATAAAAATGTGAAATTTGGAGTTCGGTTCTCATATTTTGTTTTTCATTTTTCCTAGCAAAATGAAAAGTTCACGTTCAACAGCCAATTAATGGTATTAGGCTCAAATGAACTGAGTTTTTTGAAGTGATGGAAAATCATAAATTCAAAATTTTTGTGTTTGCAGTCGATGTTTAGTTTCACAATGATATTAGTGTTTCCCAATATGTTTGATCTTTGACTCTGGCAAGTATATAGTTTTCAATGGATTTTTGCAGCTGATCATATACACAAAGGAAAAGAATGCGATTTTGTTTACCTATCCTCCCCCTGTAAGTTGTACTTGACTTTCAGTTGAGAATTTCTTTAGACCAGTTATGAATATGATCTATTAAAGCTTTTCTTTATTCCTTCAATTGTTTCAGTTTGTTTTCTTCTTTGTATCAATGATTTGGATGAGGATAACCTTGTCTATGATGTGATAGACCTAGTTCTCATATAATTTGTATTAAGGTTGACTACATAAAGGCTAGCATTACCTTTTTTTTTTTCTTCTGATGACCGATGAATGTTTGGTGGTGCCTGAGTTGTCCAAGGTAGTCTCATAGGCGTCTTTGGAATTTTTAATGCTCTAGGTTCTTGCCTTGCCAACAGTGAATTAGCATAATTTGGAGTTTGGAAAATATAAATCTACTCCGAAACTCTTGCATTTATTTTTTTTGTGCTTTACTAATTTTTTTTTTTAGTTTTGAAAATTGTTTTGCAATTAATACATCTTTACTTTGGTAGTAATCATTCACATCCTATATTTTAATTACCTACATAGAATTATAATAAGCAATAATGCTTGCTTTATCTTTGCATCTAGCTTACTGTAGTCATGGCTTCTTGCCCTATTAATCGCTATATTTTGAAGGCCCTGAACTTGTTCTTGAGTGGTTTCTTCTTCTGTCACAGTACTACCACGTCAGCTTCCTCTTCTTTTGTTGCAATTTCTAGCTTGTGGATTATGATAAACTGTTAGAAGAGCATTCATCTTTGGTTCATTTTATTTTAGCATTTAATGAGTTCACGCCTGTAGATTATGTCTAACTATGTACATTGGGCTGCGTTAATACCACATCACAGTACTAGTGTTATTTTATCCATTGTATTTATTGACAATCAAGTAATCAACGCGCACACAATAACTAACGTGATTACTCTGTTGTTTGGGTCCACTAGTTCTTTTTTTTAAGCTTTAATTGGGTAAGTTTCTTGAAAGACTTCATGTACTTATACCCTATGAAGCACGGAGAGGTCGCATATTGGGGTGCAATACATGTCGAACATGTACACGTTGGAGGAAGTGTTTCTATTTTTCCTCAATCGGACATGTTAGGACGCATTGGGGCCGCAATTTTTATTTTTTATGTTGTTTTTCACTGGAGTAGCATATCCAAGGTTGATGAATTTGATGACAATAAATATTTGCCATAGAATAAATATATAATATTAAAATGTGACATGTAGTAAATATAAAAAAGTAATCAGTGTGTTTGGTTTGAGTTTTCTGGATTAAGTTTTTTGAAAGCTGAGTTTTTTTATTTTCGTGTTTTTTTTTGTTTTTAGTGAATACTTTTAAAATTTTAAATATTCTTTTAACTTTTTTAGATGCGCTTTACTTAAATGTATCTAAAAAGTAAAAAATTTGTGAAAAAATATTTTAAAAAATTAATAAATACATAAAAAAATGTACAAAATTCTTGTATTTTTTTTGTATTTTTGGTATTTAGTGAATTTTTTAAAGTTTTTTTTACAATTTTTTTACTTTTTAGGTGTATTTATGTTAAAGCCTTGTTTGGGAACAGGCTATTTGAGTAACTTTTTGGTTTTTTGATTAAAATATGAGGTAAAAAAAAACTAGTATATTTGAGATGACTTTTTGACTTTTTACGAAAAGTTGTGCAAAAAGTGGAGAGAAAAGAGAATTTTTTATTTTTTGGTATAAGTTGTTGGCTTTTTGATTTTTTTAGTAACTTTTTGGTTTTTAGGCTAAAACAGCCTCTTGCCAAACGAGGCCTAAGTGTGTCTAAAAAGTAAAAAAATTGCTTAAAATATTAAAAAAATTCACTAAAAACAAAAAAATACGGAAAATAAGAAAGTAGAATTTTCTGAAAAGTTTTTTTAAAAAATGGAACCAAGCTAGCTAAATATGTTTTTTATGTGTCGTGTTCTACTTTTTTTGAAAATATACGTGTCTACGTGTCCATGTCATCTCATGTGTTTATATCCATTTTCGTACTTCTTAGCTTATACCTCAAAGCTTCCATTAGGTGGTTTATTTATTTTTGAAAATTATGTATGTACATCTGATACATCTTTTTGTTATGTTATGTTACATTCTATAAACATGTGGAAAGCCTTGAACCGATGCCTTAGAAACTCAAGTTTTATGAGCTTTTCACCTCTTGATGATGGCATAATTTTGTTTTAGCCCTATTGTCATAATGATGTCAAAATCATGCTAAAATACTTCCAGTACTACTACATATTTATCAAAAAAAAAAAGTTTTATGAGTTCTACATGCTGTTTGCTGTATGGCTAATTGTGTGTCTAATTGTCTTAGACTCTTAGATGTTCACCTCATATAGTTTCTGGATATCAGGTTATTTTTTCAATCCGTATCATCATCATTATGTTATACTTTGTTTAATTTCATTTTGTAACAGTTTGATTTGCTGAGCATTAATAGAAAAATCTTGGAGTTACACATTGACTGACTGCTAGAAGCTGTTCAATTCATCTGGGTGCCTCAGCTGATGATGTAATTTTTTTAAAAAGGTTATACAGATTTCACATGATAGCGGACTAAGACTCCTATGAACAAAAAGGAACAAAACTAGTGTGAATAATGGCTTTTCAGGATGCTTTGAAAGTACTATTAGGTTTGCTAGAGAGTATATTTGCATGCATTAATGTGGACTTCTCTTTGGCTAAACCCCCTGATTAGAAATTTAATGACCCATGGTAAGGGACACATCCTTGGCAGCCACTAAAGAAGGCAAGTTTGGGTTGTACCAGAGACCTTCAAATGGCCTTTCTTAGGAATTGCTGAGATGATTTTTCTTCCGGTCTTTTCCAAAAGGTTGTCTACAAGAGTTATTGATTTAGCTAAGGATAAGATTGTCATTGAGGGGTTTGTGGTGGGAAGGGATAGGATTGGAGTTACTCATTTACAATTTGTGGACGATTCTATATTCTTCTCATCAAAGAAGGAAAATAAAGTGGGGAGTTTGCTACAGATTCTGAGAATTTTTGAAATTGTGTCGGGCCTCAAGGTCAATCTTAACAAGAGCAGTGTTGTGGGTATTAATTTGGATGATAGCTATGTGCATAGGGTAGCGGATATGTTGGGATGTTCCACTGATTCCTTTCCTATTAAATACTTAGGGCTTTGATTGGGAGGAGATCCTAGATTGGCGTTCTTTTGGGAACCTGTTCTTGTCAAAATTGGGAAAAGATTGGAGGGATGGAAGCGAGCTTTGTTGTCTTAGGGGGGGGAGATATACTTTGGTACAATCCGTATTAGGATCTGTTCCTATTTATTTCTTGTCCATTTTCAAAATCCTAGTTAGCATTGCGAGGAAAATTGAGAAATTGATGAGAGATTTTCTTTAGGAAAGGTGTGAAGAGGGCAAAGGGGTTCATTTGGTTAGGTGGGATACGGTTTCGCTTCCTAAGGAAAAAGGTGGATTAGCTATTGGAAAACATCGTTGCTAGGAATATTGCTCTTTTGGGCAAGTGGTTGTGGAGATTTTCTATTGAAAGTGATTCGCTATGGTGTTCAGTTGTTAAAAGCAAGTATGGAGTTCAACCCTTAGTAGCAGGAATCGTGGAAAGGACTCACGCTTCTGAGGAAGAAGCGCGATTTTGCGCTTCCAAGGAAGAATCGTGCTTCTAATACGAGAGAATCGCGCTTCTAATGCGAAAGAATCGCGATTAGGGCTGAGACCTCTCACGGTCGATCTCGACTGTATTTAGCATTGCGAGGAAAATTAAGAAATTGATGAGAGATTTTCTTTAGGAATGGTGTGAAGAGGGCAAAGGGGTTCTTTTGGTTAGGTGGGATACGGTTTCTCTTCCTAAGGAAAAAGGTGGATTAGCTATTGGAAAACATCGTTGCTAGGAATATTGCTCTTTTGGGCAAGTGGTTGTGGAGATTTTCTATTGAAAGTGATTCGCTATGGTGCTCAGTTGTTAAAAGCAAGTATGGAGTTCAATCTAATGGTAGAGATTGTAATGTGGTTAATAGCGGCAATTGTCGTTCACCGTGGAAATTCATTTCTCGTTTGTATCCCCTTATGTCTAACTACTTTTCGTTGAGAGTGGGGAATGGGGTGAACATCCGTTTTTGGGAGGATGTTTGGTTAGGGGATATCTCGTTTGATAGATCTTTTCCTCTTCTTTACCGGTTGGTTCGTTATTCAAATGTTTCAATAGCGCCGGTGGCTTGCTCTTCTATGGCACCCATCTCTTGGAACTTTGATTTTATTAAAAACTTGAATGATAGGGAGGCGGGGGAGCTGGCATCTTTGTTGGTAGTGCTTGAGGGGGTCTGTCTTTCTTCATCTTGTGATATTAGGGTGTGGAATCTGGGCTCTTTAGGGGTCTTTTCATCTAAATCCTTTTTTAATAAGCTTATTGATAATCCCTCTATTCCCTTGTTTCCTTCTCATAAGAAAATTTCGAAAGCGGATGTCCCTCACAGTGTTTTAAAAAGCGCCCTTAGGCGCGCGCCTAAGCTCAAGGCGAGGCAAGGCGCAGCTTTACGCCTCAGTCATGGTGAGGCGAGGCGACACAGGGGAAGCGCTGCCTAGGCGATGAGGCGAGCGCCTTATTATGAAGCGCAAGGCGAGCGCCTTGTGCGCCTTGGCTTTCTTCCACTCCAACAGATTCTGTTCTCTACTCTTCTTCTCCTCTTCTTCTCTTCTCTTCTTCTTCTCTTCTTCTTCTTCTTCTTCTTCGTCTTCGTCTTCTCTTCTCTTCTCTTCCCTTCTTTCGTTGTCTTCTTCTCGCTTCTGTCTCGCCACGATCGTTCTCTCTCTCTCGCCTTCTCTCTCGCCTCCCTTTTATCTTCTGTATTCATATATATATATATATATAATATTATATAATACCGATTATATAATATATAATATATAATCTACAATAAATATATAAAATATAAAATATAATTGATTTATATATATAATATTATACAATACCTATTATATAATATATAATATACTTATAGATAATATGTAAAATAAAATACATTAATTATTTAAAAATAAACACATGTATATAAAATAAAAATATACTTATGTAAAATAAAAATAAACACATATATATAAAATAAAATAAAAAAATTAATTAAAACACATTATTTAAAAAATATAATATAATAAATAAAATAATATATATATTAAAAAATTAATTATTTTTTTCTTCTTGTTAAAAAAATTAATAATATACATATTAAATATTTGTTTATGTTGAAAATTGTGCTTTATTAATATTTTGCTTAACTTCTATAACTTGTGCCTCGCTTTGGTGAGGCGCGCGCCTCGCCTCGGGGCTTAGGCTCCAGGTGACCTTGGCGCCTCGATGCGCCTAGGGCTTTTTAAAACACTGGTCCCTCATAAAGTGAAGTTTTTTATGTGGTCTTTGGCTCAAAAGGGTGTAACAACTAATGATATTTTCCACAGGAGAAGTCCTAATCACGCTCTTTGCCCTCAATGGTGTGTGATGTGCAAGAAGAACTTGGAGGAAGTGGATCATCTATTTCTCCATTGCCCGGTGGCTTTTGTATTATGACAGCGGCTGTTCAGCTTATATGATGAGCAGTGGGTTGCTTCGCGGGACTGGATTCAAATGCTTCTTATTCGGTTTATAGGATTTGGGAGAACCAAGAGAGCCAAAACAATGTGGACAAGCATTGTTTTTGCTATTTTTTGGGCCATATGGTTGGAGAGAAATGTTAGAATCTTTGATGGCGAGGAAGCAAGTGTAGAGGCTTTGTGGGATAGAGTGGATTATTTGGCGTCATTTTGGGCACTTGTATCCCCCTCCTTTTAAAGGAGTTCCCTTGTTCTTGATCTCTAGGGATTGGGTTGTTGTTTGCCTTCCTTAGGGCTATGAGTTTTATGTTTTTGTTTCGCTCTTTCTCTTTCTCTCTTTGTATGAGGACTCCTTGTCCTCTTTCACACTTTCTTTTAATAAAATTTTGTTGTTGCTCTAAAAAAAAAATTAAATAAAATGGTTGTCTACAAGAATACATTGTCCCGTCTTGGTTCCCATGGTAGGGAGGTATCCGCCATAGGAGTTGAGAATGTCTACTACTTATTTATTGTTAAATCTTAATTATTCAGCATTATAAAGCAGGTTAGAAATTGCTGAGAACAAGTCAACATGATGGGATCATTCCAAGACCTCTCTATCCATGCCCTTGGTGCGCCACAAATTGAATCCCTTTCTTTAAGAAAGGCTCACTATTACTTCTGATAAGACTATTTTGATTGATGGCTTACCAACATCCCTTCAACTAATGCTTAAAAATTCTTAACACCCATTGACTTGGTTAAATGCCGTATTGGCAACCATGCAATCAAAATTTATACAAAATTAAATAGAAGCATACATGTTCTGTCTCTTGATTTACTGGAAACAGTTGCTGCCACCTCCACCTTCATTGCATCACAACCAATCACCACTGGCAGCTGGCACACTTACAGCTCTGTCCCTCTCCCTTCTCTATAAAGTTTCTTGTTTTCAGTCTCTCACCCATCTTCAATCTCACACATGAGACCTGCACAATTCCATCCCCTTATTGCTATCCCCACCATTAACCACCCTTACCACCATTCTACGGTTCATCAACCTGGACCTCTGTTCAACACCCAAATACATGAAGTAAACCAATTAATCTATCTCATCTTCTACACTTACCATGGTCATCACAACCCCATTTCATAGTGACTGTCATTGTTGGACCACCACCATTGCTATGTCCCTCGGAGATCTTCTAATACTCAAATTTTTTTTGCTCACTCCAAACCATTTGAGTATGAAATTACAAGCATACATACATATGTAAAGCCATTCTTGTTCTGTACCATATGAGCATCACCATCTTCATTTTTGTGCACACAATTCACACAACCATGGAAGCAACGGATGTTGCATTGACTTTTCCTTTTAGAAATAGTTAGTGTTGATGGGTGGATAGTATTATGGGGCAGTTTGGGGGTCTTTTAATTACATATCTATTTGTAATCTTTGTATAGTAGCTAGTTGTGCACGGTAAAGAGGTGGGTTGTTGAATACATGGTGGTTTCGTTGGCTGTTATAAATATGTATAATGTGTGTATTTATGAGAGAGAGAGAGAGAGACCCCATGTGGGAATGTCCTGGTCTTAGCTTCCTCAAAATAAACCCCTTAGGTAAAACATATACTTCAATAGCCTTTTAAAAGACAAATTAGGACATGATGCCACATGTTCTTTTTCCATTAAGTTTATTTATGGAAGAGTAACAGGGTGTGTCATGTGTTTCGGGTCAATAATTTAAGTGTGTGTACACGTTGGGTAAAATAGTTTAGGGGTGAGTTAAAACTAGGCTATGCTTCACAGGCTCTTGTATGGGCAGTGGGTTATGGTCCATTTTGGTATCAGAGCAATAATGAAGAGCCCCAAGCCTCTCGTATGTGACCAGGAAAGGCATGAAGCGTAGCTCTCTGTAGGGGATGCCCAAGTTCGATCAACTTTGGGTTGCAAGCTGATAGGTACTGAATGGAGTGCGCCTTGACTGTCTTAGACCCTGCGGGCTAATGTAAGACGGCGCTGTATGGGCAGTGGGTTATGGTCCATTTTGGTATCAGAGCCAAGTTAAACAAAAACAAGAAGCTTAATCAAGGATTAAACAAGTGAGGATTATCCAAAGGATTTTGTCTTGACACCTAGATTTCTTCACTCAGAAAGGGATCAAAAATCTTTATGGCGTCTAGTAGTAACTCGGACTTCAACCCCAGGCTACGAGAAATCGTACCAACACAGAAAAACACAGTTAGACCTAGAATTAGAGGAGAAAATCCAGCCTCTACTAGGCAAAATTATCCAAAAAAGATATTCATAGTTTTAGAGTTCCGTAGGCACAAGGGATAGCTTGTTGTGGTTCCACAGCTGATGTTTGCTGCACACAGCAAAATATGGGAGGTTTATGCTATGCAATGGTGGATTTGGAAAAATACAAATTCCACAAAGTTATTACTGTAAATCCAATGGTCCCACCATGGGTACTTTCTCAAAGACACTTTTCCTCGTTGCATTTCTTGTAAAAAGTATGGGAATATGCATCATGGGAAAGTTGATATTTAATCTGCCTACAAACTTTCTTGCAAAGTTATGGTAGATGGAAAAAAGATTCTTTTATATTTGCCTTTACTTTTCTCTAAAATTATTTTCCTATTTAATATTCCTGACAATTAAACAGAACAAAGGATAAACAGTTGTGATTTACTCTGAAAAAGGAGGGAGGGAAATTCAAGGTCATCTCGCCAGATATATATTTGATGCGTGGACTAACAATTTTAATTGATAGATCGATGTTTCTTCATCTTCAGTTGACAGATAACCTTAGCCTCATCCAGAATTACCTTAGAAACATGTTCATTTGTTTTTCTTTTTATTCTCCATTTATCAGTAGTTATCTCATTTTGTTTTTCAGGGATCGTTTAACAGCACTGGATTGGTGGTCTCTTCCAAGCTGCCAAGGTTCTCTGATATGTACACTCTTACTGTAGCAAGTGCAGATCCCAAATCAGTATCTGCAAAGCCACCCGTGGAATTTACAAAGAGTGTCACTCAGTGGTTTCTCTCTCTCTCTCTCTCATTGCATTGCTTGTCAAAATTCCAATATGCATTGATATCCCTGCTGTATTTCTGAAATTATGCATGGTTGCAGGTTCACCAAGGATGGAATTCTGGTGGAGGGCCTCTTCTGGAAAGATGTAGACGGGCTAATAAATGATTATGGAAGAGAATCTAAAAAGAGCAAGTGAATTTGAGGTATAGACCTCCTTTGATAGGATCCTAGTCTGACAAAAGGGGCTCCCTATTTTATCGAACTTAGATGATCTTTAAATTGAAATTATGGGTTATTGCTTGAATGGATTTTGAGCTGAAACTATGAAATCGACATTGCGATAAAATGCGAAGAGAATTTAAAACTTTTTTAAGTAAATGAAATTTTGGGTGCATTTGTCATCCTTTGGGTCTATTTTCATTAACTAGCGAATTTCTTTGATGCCCAATGTAACTATAATTTATAGAAGCAGAAGTTGATTGTTATTCATTGGAAATTTGGGTCTGGAGTCGGCCAAACTTACCGTGTAACATTAGCTTGGGCGTCTGTGCAACTACAAAAGTGGATTGGTGGCTACTTTTTTGGGCAATGTAATGCCAGGTTTGTTATTTATTTCGTACTTTTTTTGAGTTGGTTTGGCAATTGGGTGCTTGAGGTTACATAGTTTACTTGCAAATAGATCTTTCTATGCTCTTAATGAAGCCGGACCTTTTTGGCAATAAAAAGCCCAATTGTTGGACTTGGCTTATTTGGGTGGATTAAGGGTTTAGATTATAATGCTTGTTTTTTTGGATTTCCTGCATTCATTGTTATAGATTGGTGGAAGCAGTGTAGTTTGGACGATATTAGTAAAAATTTAGCAGAAGTGATCTTTTTGGTTTTCTTTGTTGAGAAATCAAAACGGGCTAAATGTTATGATTCAATTTTTAATTTTGTCGATTTGATGTTAAAGAGGAATTCAAAAGAGGTTTTTTTATTTTTTGTTTTTAAATTTCACATTAGAAATAAATAGTGAAAGTGCTCTGTTATAACTTTTATTTTGTAATGTGTATTATGGGTTATTTATTTTTTAATGTGCAAAGAATTAAAATTTAAATGTAATATTTCCATTGATTTGATTTGTATCGTTGTTAGAAATTTTAAAATTAAAATAAACAGACAGTTCCAAAAAAAAAAAAAAAAATTGCATTTATTTGGTTCACCTTTAGTTAGTTAGTTTGGAGGGACTACCAAGAATTGGACTTGCCCGCCCGTTTTGTCCTTGTCATTCCTTATTAGTGCATACATAAACATGTAGCAATCCTACTATCGGTTAGTAAGTGCCTAACAAATTTTCAACTTGGTACGGTCTCCATTTTAGACATGTAATCGTTGCGGTATGGTTGTATTATTGTATAATTTGAAACGGTACGATTCGATTTAAGAGCTTTCACATTTAAGTCACATTTTAGAAGTATAATAAAGTCACTAATCTATATAAATATATTGAATTAATCATTTATTCACTGCTTCAAATATCTAATCTATCCATTCTGTAAAAAAATATTTAAGATTTGAAGAATAATGAGTTAGAATTAAGATTTATATATAATAAGAGTTTACCAAACTTGAGCTAAATTGGAACCCTTGTTGTAAATTCAAGATACAGTTGCCAATAGAAGGAAAAGAAGTGCAGTGCTGTGACAGCCACAATCCATCATATAGAGCAAAGCCACAATAATGATAGGTGATGGTTCTGTTTGGTAATGCTTACAAAGTTGTTTATAATTAATTATTTATTTTTTAATTTTGAAAATCAAGTGTTTGGTTTTTGTTTTCTGATTAATTCGTAGGAATGCACCAAACAGGCCTGACGTCCTGTCTCAATCAGAAGACCCAATTTTTAGCAAAATTAGCAAGTGAAAGTCACTGATCAACCACACAAATCCTACATCTCGAACTTGCTCTCAGCCTTGGTATGTGGAATATATATACACCCAAACACTTATAACAAGTTGGCACCACACAACTTATCTCTTAAATTGGTGGGACCGTCAAAATACTACTAATTGGAACTACTCGTCTAAAGAACAAGCACAAGGACTTGTTGGGATCAAAACCACAGACATACATGCTTGCCAATCTATAATGCTGTTTGAAAATTGTCTATTCTAATCGGTTTTTTATTTTTATAAAAGAACATATAAAAAAGTGAAAAAGTGATGTGATTGGATATTTTGACCAAAATAATCAAAAAGCTAACACACCAAACATGACCTAAAATGGAACCCATGAAAGTAATAATTTATTAACCGCTAAATGACAACTGTTAGAGAGAAATTTTGACTAGGTTAGATGAGATTATTAGTATAGTGTGATTGAGTGTGAGATTATTAGAGTGTGGACATTAGGTTTGAGATGTAAGATAAATTGTGTTTGTTTGTGTCCTAGTGTGATTAGTTGATTGAGATTAAATTTATCTAATTACATAAAAGCCTTTATTATATAAAAAGTGTCATCATTGTTTTGGTAAAACAAAAAAACTAGGGTCCTAGAATTTGGGATCTAAAATTTACTCAGAAATGGGTATATGTGATGGAGACTGAATTGTTGAAATGTGTGGTCCACATATGATATCAATCTGAGCCATTGATATAAAATTCTGAGTAATTTTAGAATTTTTATATTTGGGTCCGTAGCATTACTGTTTGTAAAATAGAAGCAATAAGATCATTATTTCACCTCCAATCCCATAGGATTGGATTAGCAAATCCAAGTCTACTATGGGATTGCTAGTCCTCTCATTGAAAGGGACTTTTAATCCATGATAGTTTTGCAGGACAAGCATGATGTTTGTGGGCTTCACTTCACTATTAATCCAATCCCACCCTTTATCTCTTAAAATAAATAGGGCTTATGGTCTTAAGTATCGATGACTTAGAGAGTTGATGTTCTAAAGTCTTTCAACACTTTCACTTGTGTGGTCCGGTTGAATATGAAGATGATAAAGAGATGAACGAACCGGTAGGCTACCTAAGAGATAAATGTGACTCTTGGCCAAACCAGTCCCTTGTTTGTGGTTTCTGGGTTTTGCATATTTTTAGATTTGGTTGCTTCTTCTGTGTTTGTGATTTTGGCTGAGAAAACTGTTGGAAGGGATAGAATGCAGCTGTGATGATTGAGAAGATTTGGCATTGTCAAACTCTGTACCAAATTTAATATAAATTTTAATGTTATTCTAATTTGGCACAAGCTATAGCAGACTGTTGGGAAAAAAATATATTGCAGGTGCAGCCAAAAAAATTATAAACCATTGGATTTGGAATTGCACAAGCTGAAATGCATATGAAAATCTATCAGAAATCTTTATCTAAGGCCCCGTTTGGGAACAGGCTAATTTAGTAACTTTTTGGCTATTTGGCTAAAATATGAGCTAAAAAAAATTAGTATGTTTGGGATAACTTTTTGGCTTTTTACGAAAAGATGTGCAAAAAGTAGAGAGAAAAAAGAATCTTTCACTTTTGGATATGGGTTGTTAACTTTTTAACTTTTTTAGTAACTTTTTGACTTTTTGACTAAACCGGCCTTTCCAAACTAGCCCTAAATATGGGGAAGTCACTATCTGCAGGTACTCTGCCCAACAAACAATTGATGTAAAAAATAATATAGAGCCTTCATGAGGTGTTGTATTGTAGGGCCTAACAATATTCAATTTTAATGTACCAATACCTACACAATGTTTTGTGATGTTTAGCCATTAAAATGGACCCCTTCTCCCCTTGCCATTATGTGGATGGTTCCAATATATTCAACTAAACTATATATATTGATGAAATCCATGAATGACATCACCTCATTATAAAGTAAATATTAAATGTAATAATAATATTAGATATTATTAATTAGGATTTTCACATTACCATTGTAATAGTGAAAATTACATGAATGACATCATCTTAACTTCATTAGAGATATGACATTACTTGCATTGAAAAACTATCTAAACAAATATATTTATGGACCACAATTATTCTGAATGTGATTCATATCTTATCAATTTTAAATTTATAATATATATCTCACTTTTGAGATAATTTTTTAGCCAAAAATTTATGGTAAATATCATTTAAAAAAATATTTTATTGAAGAGAGATGTATCACAGGGTGAGGATGACTAAATTTTCACCTCTTCAGAATTCATTTGTTGCTCAGAGGCTGACAAAAAGTAGGTTAATATTATATGAATTTAGGGGATTGTTTGGGGTGTCCTAAATAAGTGTACTTTTTGTCTTTTTAGACTAAAAAGTTTAGGTTGAAAATATAAATGTTTGGGTTAACTTTTTGACTTTTTATGAAAAAATTTGTATTAAAAAATTGTATAAATTAATGTGTAGGGGAAAATTAGTATTGAGAGTTGTGCAGCCGTAATTGTTGACTTTTGGTGAATAGTGATAACTTTTTAAATAACTTTTTGACTTTTTAACTTTTTGAAAACTTCCCAAACTTGGCCTTAGTCATCCTCACCTTGTGATACATGTATTCTTATAGAGTCCCTTAACATGTATTCTCTGGATTAAATTGTTTGGGGGTAAATTATAAATATATTCTTTAAGATTTAATTAAATTACAAATTATCTCTTGTGATTCTAGAAATTATATTATACTCCCTAAGGTTTCTAATTTCATAACAAATAGGTCATTTCATTAACAAATCATCAATTTAATTAACAATTTTTAATAATGTTAAAATTTTATTTCAATTAATAATTCAGATAATTTTATAATTGTATAGGTGAATAGTTAAAATTTTTACTTTTTCAATTAATTCTATTAAATAAAAAATTCTAACAGGGAGATATTTGTAATTTTCCAAACCACATGAGACAATTCGTATTTTAAGCAAATCTCATGGGGTGTATTTGTAATTCACCCATTGTTTGGCATTTAACAATCACTTAGGGGTGTAAATCTGGCCCAACTCGGCCCATGTCGGGCTTCATGGGCTCTTGCCAAAATTTAGGCCACGGGCCAAAAAATTAGGCCTAGTGGTATTTGGGCTTTAGACGGGCTGGTGGACCGGGTCTCGAGCCAACCTAGTAGACCTGGGCCTAGTTTCAGGCTTAGGCAGGCCTAATTATTTTTTTTTGTTTTTTAAAATTTTTTCTACTAAAATTTTATTATTTTTTACTAAAAAAGATATTGAGCCTTAGGCAGGCTGGGTTTCGGGCCAGGCCTTAAGCGGGCCGATGTGCTAGGCCACGGGCTAAACCGAACTTCAAAACGATGGCCCAGGCCTAGGCCTAGAGGCTTGACCCTAAACGGGCCCGGCCTACCCCGGACCACCCGCGAGTGACGGGCCATTTTTGCACTCCTACAATCACTCTTCATTAATTGGCCATTAACGATCTCCATTAAATTAAATTATTTTTTATTATTATTTTTTTATTGAGAGCCGTTTAGTAAGTAATTATTTTAGTTAAAAAGTTATTAAAAAAGTCACAAAAAAAAAAATCAACTCATAAAAAACTTGAAGATTCATTTCCGTTCACTTTACTTTTTACATGTTTTTTCATAAAAACCAAAAAAAAAAATTCCAAACATATTAATTTCATTTTACTTTATATTTTAATCAAAATAAAA